TACTTTTAGAAATTCTAGGAACCACTAGTAAACCTGCAGATTGAGAGCGAACATAAGGAACAATCCTGATCAGTTCATAGAGCAGCTTCTGTCACATTAAAGCATTAAGCTAACGATCTGCAGAAGAGAGCTGCTTCAGTGAGGTTTGGTTGGTGTTCAGTTCCTGACAGCAGAACCGATCCAGTGATTTACAGACATGAGGCTGGAAACGTGAGCTTTCTATTTGATCCTGCATGGATTAGAGGAAATCGTCCATTAATGTAAACATCTGCTCCTAGCTGACAAAATAAATTGGTTGCTTAATTAAAATAAAGAACAAGGAAAGCTGATGGGGAATTTCCAACCATGGCCGCTTTTCCTGCTTCAGATTTTCACTTTAAACCTCCAAAGAACTTGAGTTTTTTTTTTAAGGCAAATAGAAAACAACAGTATGTTAAAAAAAAAAAAAAAGGTTCCAAAAAAGAAATATTAAATAATGGAGGTCAAGGAGAACCTCGGAAAAATCTTCTTTGACTTTGAGGTTCTGATGCAAAACAGCAGCTGCAAATAATGAAGAATGAAAGGAGAAATTTCTGTGCAGAAAACAAATCAGTAAAACCTCCAGCAGGGCAACAAAGTCAAGGTCCAATCAGAGACGCCGACACACAAGGCTCTGATGTGGTTTTATCCCGGCGCACCAAAACGTAGCATCAACTGTGGATCGGTCGGATGGAAAAGCAAAACGTTCTCGTCGTATTTAGCACTTTGTCTGTGAGCCAGCAGAGATTTGGCGAGAAGCGAGGCGTTATTTAACATGGCTGCTGCCCAAGCGTCTCCTCTACAGTATGAGACGGGCAGCCAGATAGACAGACAGCCCAGGGCAATGCTGGGAACAAGGAAAACCTGTAGACAACCAACAAATCTCATTTCGTAGCCTGCCTCCTATATTCTGTTTAATTACCATCTTCTGCTCAGGCTGTAATTATTCCAAGTGTCACAACACAGCCATCTTGATTTGGAACGTGACCGAAGGAGACAAAACATGGGCCAAGCTGGTTTTGCACAAATGAGGTCCTGCTTCCTGTAATTATTAACAGAATGAGACGAAAACGTCGTGTTTAAAACCAGTTCTGGTGTTTGTTTTTTTTTCCTCCTAAATCTTATAGATGGTTTTTGTTTTGAAATCTCAGCGTTGTCCAGCAGTGGGCTGATCTTTGCTGACTTCCTGTTGTGTGATTCAAAGCGTGCCGCCCCTCCGTCGTTCTGCTGATTATTTAAATGCTCACTTGATTGTCAACATGTGAAGGCGAACAGTTATGGTGGAGGCAAGTTTCAGTCTCTGGAGGGCAAAAAGGCTAGTGTTAATTATGATGGAGCAGAGCGAAAGGAATTAAAACTAATGAAGTCCTGGGAGACCGGCTTGCTCGCTTCTCACCCAATACTCTTTCCCCTGGTCTCTCTGTGGGCTGGCACAGTCTGTCAAAGAGTTATTTGTCTGCCTGAAACCCGCAGAGGGATTGGGGGGGCATGACTGACTGTTACTCCCAAGCATCAAGCCTGTTTGCAGAATTTCTCCTCTAATATTGGACTTTGTTTCTGCTGCGTGTCGCTCTGCAGAGGTTCTGTTGTTTTATCACAAGAACCTGTCAGAAACACGTCGTCGTACAAGTCCCCCCCCAGCATGATAGACATGTATGTTAAACTTAAAGTCTGTAAATCCGTTGGTCGGATAGAGGAAATAAAAAATAAGCATCCTTGGAGGATAGTTGGTGTCCCTGAGGTCCTGCAGAACCATTTGTTGACCCACGTTGACTCATCATCCTCTGACCTGTTTGCACGATATGTGAATAGCAGGGGGCCAATCAGGCAGCCAACCAGGGGGCCAATCGGGGGCCTGTGGTTTTCCTTAGATGCATCAGCACCAGACTTTCAAAGAATATCATGACCACTGATGTCAGAGCAACAGGCCTGCAGTCAGTAAGGCTTGTTGCATGTTTCTGAGGGATTAGGATGAAGGAGCTTTACAACAGGGAGGGAACTTAACCTGCTTTAGGTTTCTGTTAAAGAAATGGCGGAAGAAGAAGAGTTATTTGGTCAGTACTGGTTTCTTGGCAGAAAGGGTAGCCGCCATTAGGATCTGGAGTTTCTTTTCCCCCTTCTGGCACTGGAAGACCCTATTTACATCTTCCTTTTTATCTCTAGTAGCGTCTCTAATGAAGGCTGATCCTTTATGTCAAAGTGAGACCTTGAGTCTTTAGAAGAAATAGTTCAGTTAGCAGGGGGTCACCTTAGCAAGAAGGGATGATGTCATTTGTTACGTTAGATGCTGCTGGTTTTCTCTTTTTCAGTCCTTTAGCTGTAAATAGGTCGAATCTCCTGCATGTTAGATTGCAGATGAATAAACCAGGTTTATTGTTACTGAATGTGTGAACAGTCTCGATCTGAACACAGCCGTCCTCCCACAAGTTAACGTATGATGTCGATATTTATCTGCTCTAAAGCAATCAAAGATTTCAGCCGGAGCTTCAGGTGGTTCTGAAATATCAGCTCCGACTCATCAGACCTACAAATAAACCATTAAAACTTTCCTTCAGTTGGTTGATTTCCAACAATTACATGTTTAAACAATTAGCAGTTAAAGTTATGTAGAACGAATACATTTTAGAGCATATGCAATATTAGATGATTATTACTTTTATAAAATTTATGAATTTTTCAATTAGTAAAGAACAACATAAAATATTTCGCTACTAACTGTGATTAGAAAAAACTTAACGGAAAAGTCCGGTCAGCGAGGAATAATTAATGAATCATTATTTAGACCTAAAACTAATAAGTTTGCGGTGATTTAATGAATTTAGCATTAATCAGTAAAAAAATAAAAACAATAATTTTCGGTGTGATCACTAAGTCTGGGAGCGGCCATTTTTGGGCCATTTTTAGTACCATTGAAATTCACCACAGCTATAGTGAAACTGACAATGGAATATATCAGGTAAAAGTGAATAAACAATGAGTTATTCCACCTTTCTGATTCCTGATCCTCCACAGACGGGTTGATCATTGGATCACCAACTTGAAGAGGAAGGATTTGCCATCGAACTTCTGGCCAGAGAAAAAACACGTAATATGTAGCCAACATTTGGAAGAAGAATGTTTTCAAGATGACTTGGATAATAGCGCGTTGTGACAAACACCAGATACAGCACTGGGACTTGATCAACAGCCGATACCGCACCGTGACGTCACAAACCAGTAGGTGGCAGTAGTGTTCTTTGACAAACATGGATGACCGGACTTTTCCTTTAAACAGAAAGAAAATATTAAGGAATAGATAAAAATAAAAGTAAAAAGAATTAGATTAATTCAATTTAATAATAATAAATAAGCTAAAATCCAGAGAAGTAGATGCACTTTTATAAACATCTAATCTCTCAGCTCTTCAGGAAGGTTAATTAATTTTTCTGGAGTTTTTTGTCATGTTTCTGTCACTGCTGGGAAAAAAGGCAACTGATGGTACCGTAGCTACAGCTGATTAAAGGTCTCCAGCAATCTGAGCCGATTCCCTCTTCCTGATAATTATCTGTGTTTATACTCTGATACAGTGTTGTATAAAGTACTGAAATCTCAGAGTCAAGTAAAAGTATAAGTACCTCTCCAAAATATGACTTTGGTAAAAGTCCAAGTCACTGACTGAAATGTTACTTGAGTAAAAGTCTTAAAGTATCTGAAATGGCTTGTACTTGTAAGTATAAGAATTACTGTAAAAATAGATGTACTCAAGTAATGTAGTGAAAAGTATAAGTAAAAAGTAGTGCAGTTTGAATGACATTTGTTTACGTTTTGGTAAACTCTGAAGGTTAAATTCACTTAAAATAATATAAAGAACCAAGTGTAGGATAAATTTAGACTGGCTTTGAAACAGGCGTATCCTATTGGTGTTGATGAACAATCCCAGGCAAGACCAGACTTTGTAGTCAGTAGGTGGGCTCAAAACACTTGCGTTTCTTTCGCTCTCTCGCTCGTTTTTTTTTCTTTTTTTACTTAGTAACTAAACCAAAAATTAAAAATGTGTCAGAGTTCAACTATGCAATCAAGTTCGTAAATGTAGTGAAGTAAAAGTGAAAGTTCTCAAAAAAATGTATACTCTTGGAAAGTATAAAGTACTCTAAAATATACTTAAGTACAGTAGTGAAGTATTTTTACTTCGTTACTATACAACACTGTTCTGATGCTGTTACCTCTCTGCTGTTCTGTCAGCTCAGCATACGGCGTCAGGCCGGCATACCCCTGCTCTCCTTACAGCTAGTCACTGTTTTATTTCCCGGTTTAGTCAGGTTTTTGTTGTCGTTTTGTGCATAAAACAAAGAAAGTCCACCACACACATTAGTTTAAAAACAAACATTGCATGTCCGTTAGATGAGGATCTTATTAAGAATGATCGGCATTTTTTTTCACAGAGAATCAAATATTTATAGGGAGAGGATTCTACAACTCAGTGACAGGATATAAGATTTATTTTGTTTTTAGTTTGTTTAATATGAACGACATGCAGATTGTTTTATTATTTATTATATTTATTATTTTATTCTTAATTTCCTGGGGGAAAAGGAATGACTTTAGGGTTAGGAGTAGGATTTACTCTGTGATTACAACTTAATGAGCCCACTGGCACAATCTGAAGCCATTCTATGGGACTGATAACCGCTAATAACGATCATACACGCATGCATATTACTGAGGGTATGCAGGCCTGACGCGGTATGCCGCGCTGACAGAACACCGGCTCCCTGAATAACGCCGTCCTCATCCTGGNTACACGCATGCATATTACTGAGGGTATGCAGGCCTGACGCGGTATGCCGCGCTGACAGAACACCGGCTCCCTGAATAACGCCGTCCTCATCCTGGGTGGATCAGCAGCATCAACCTTCAGATGATGATGGATCGGAGCTCTGGGTCTGAAAGCTGACCAGTCTGCTGGGTTCCTCGTGGTGCTGCTTGTCCTGAGAACCTCTTAACCATCAGATCTGCTAGATCTAGATGTTAGATCTGCTAAGCAGGCAGATGGAACCACACGGACAGAAACAGTTTGAATAAACTTGGCGTGGATGGAACGACGGATTCATTTTGTTCACTTGTTAACCATGCAGGACTTTAGTATTTTGGTGACAGTGGATCTAAGCTTAGAACAAGGTTTCTGTTGTTCAGATCATCTAAATTGTGAAAGAAGGTTGTGCTTCTTGTTTGTCATCATATTTATTTATTTATTATTTATNGTGGATCTGAAGATTAGCCGTTAGCCTCCTTTTCGTGTGGCTGTTTGGTTCCTGCTGCTCTGAAATGATTTAAATCAACCAACCGTTGATTTAACGGTTGGTTAAATCCCAATGGAATTTCCCATTGGGACCAAGTAGCACTAAGTTGCTAACTGGTTAGCAAGATGCTTCCGACAAACTGGCCACAACCAGACTTGCTTGTGAACTTTCCGCCACAACAATCCCGCCCCCTTGATAATCGACCAATCACATTCACTTTATCCACTCCTGTAAAGTCGGACGCCACTCGGGAGAATTCAGAAATGCAACGGTTGGAACAGACTACGACTTTAATGCTCCATTTTTACTGTTAATGAATTCCTCACATTGTGAGGCTGATTTGATCCAGAAACAGCAAAGTTTTTAAAGAATCTTCTTCTAAATATTAAACAGAAGCAGACAGATCTAGGCCCAGTAGATCAGATGAAGGCCTTGGATGCAGGATCAGCTGCTGTGATGAAGGGAACTGTTTCACTGTTTCTCTCTCTGCTCTTCTCTCTCCTCTGTTTTGTCTTCTTGTACTTCATCAAACCATCACTTTCACTGGTTTGGCCCCAGCAGACTGTTAACTAACAATCTAGCCAACGTTCCTCTCCCTAAAGTCCCCAGCCTTCCCCTCACGCTGCCACAGATGCCTAGCTTCTCGGTACCTGCCTGGATGGGACCTCTCTGTGAGAACACGTATGTATGGCAGAGCAGCTGCTGGTCCACACTACAGGTCTTCACATTAAGCACCTGCTGTCCTCCAAGACTACCATGTTTCACTGGTTTTATTCCAGGTTCTTCAGCACTTCAGTTCAGATTCCACCAATTGGTCTACCTCTAATAAAACTGAGGCTGCTGATATTTCTATGGTTGTCCTAGCCTAAGTCTGAGGGACCTTTAAAAAATAACTGGTTGACTGCTGATGAGCTGACCAGCCTTAATTCCATGGAGACCAGAAGCTGGTACCATCCCAGCATCAGAGGAAGCAGGAACTATGGGCGGGCTCATGGAGAACAGCAGCAGATCAAAGCCATGTTTAAAACTCAAAAAAGGTTCAATGTCCTCCTGTAAAAAGCTAAAGAGTGATAATCTGGATCAGAACATCAGAACCAGTGTCTGACCATGTGTCCAACAAGTGTCCTCTATCTGTCCTCCATCTGTCCAACATGTGTCCTTCATCTGCCCTCTGTTTGTCCAACATGTGTCCTTCATGTGTCCATCTGTCCAACATGTGTCCTTC